CAAACTGGGATACGTTTGAGAGTAGTGAGGGGTGCTAGCAATAATAGCGTCGGGACTAAAGGTATAAACAGGGACTGTGCCAGACAAACTGGAAGTGTGAGCGCCTACATAACAATGGCCAACATTGACTAGCTCTTACTGTTTGCCTGTCACTCTCCTACATGCTGTCTGTGTGTCATTTCTTTGACCTAAACAGTGACCCTATGTGGGAGCACCTGTTCTTATCTGCACTGAACAGAGAAAGATGCCGTGGAAGACACGTAAAGGAACTTACCTAAGGCAACACGATTAGGGGCGGGGTGGGAGAGGTGGGACTTGAACTCAGGTCCTCTGAATCCAGAGCTCATGCCGCCCAGTGGAGGAGCTCAGGCCTCAGAGTACGATAGGATGAAGCTCTGTTCACAGCTCAGCTTCAAATAACTTTAGTTACCTCTCTGGCTTTAGTGTCTTCATCCATAGAATGATGGCAATGCCTCCTTCCGGTAACCCTGGGGGATTAAATGGGACATGGTGTGAGAAGATCAGGCGAGGTGTGTGTGCTTGTGATGTACTTGTCTTAAGAGAAAGCTATCTGCCAGTTTACTGTGGGCTCCATCAGACGTCTATTCAAATAGCTGCGACACAATGCGAGAAGCAGTAAATGCTATGACAGGTCACAGGAGACCCCGTAGCCTAATGGGTAAAGGCATGACATTTTGCCTGAGAGCTGGGTTCAAATTCAGGCTGTGATATTTGAATAGACATTTCTCCAAAGAAGATAAGCACATGGGCAATGAGCACATGAAAAGATGCTCCGTATCATTAGTCCTGAGGAAAATGCAGACTGCAACCATGAGGAGATTTCACTAAACACCTACTAGGATGGCTCAAGTTTAAAAAAAAAAAAAAAAAATGGGTTAGGAGTAGTAAATGATGAAGAACTAACTAGGAAGGTAAGGGTTAGTTTAACAATGTTTGTTTGTGTAGATTTCTCTGCCCCCCAATTCCCTGTTTCTGGTGATTAGAAAAAATTAAAAAAAAAAAAAAAAAAAAGAAGACAATAAGAGATGTAGCAAGAACAGCTGGTGGAGAAACTGGAACCCTCATACTTTGCTTGGGGGATTCTAAACTGGTGGAGCCACTTTGGAAAAACAGCTTGACAGTTCTTCAAAAAGTTAAACAGAGTTACCATATGACCCAGCAATTTCTCTCCTAGGTGTAATCCTAAGAGAATTGAAGAAATATGGTTATGTAAAAACTGGTACAGAAGTGTTCATTGTAGCACTCTTCTTAATAGCGAAGAAATAGAAACTGTTTAAATGTCCATCAGCTGTTGTGGTATATCCATACAATGGAATATTATTCAGAAAGAAAAAGACAAAGTACTGATACATGCTGTTAAATGGAATGACCTTGAAAGCGTGATGCTAAGTGAAGGAAGCCAGTCACAAAGGACCACCTATTGTATGATCCCATTTATATGAAATGTAGTTTGCCTCCAGAACAGGCAAGTCTATAGAGACAGAAAGTAGATTAGTGATTGCCTAGGGCTGGTGGGCTTGGGGAAGATGGGGAATAACTGCTAATGTGTACAGGGTTTCCTTCTGGGTTGATGAAAATGTTATGAAATTAGCTAGCAGTGGTGGTTGTATAACTCTATGAATGTACTAAAACCACTGAATTGTACACTTTAAAAGAGTGAATTGAATGGTATGGGAATTAAATCTCAATAAAGCTATTATCTAAAAAAATTCAGGCGATGCCCTTGGCTTTGGGCATTGGTGTCATCTTCTATAAAAATAGGGCTCATGACAGAGACTAACTCAAAGAGCAGATGTGAGGATTAAATAAGAGATTGCATGTAAAACTCTTGGCACAATGACTGGTATCGTAAATGCTCGATAACAGATGATTTTCCTTAAATACATGACCTTTCTCCTGTCCATCCTGAAGCAGAGGGTCAGTGGTGCTTTCAGCAAAATAGGCTGGGGATTCATGATAACTTAGGATGCATGAAGATTGACACTCTCCCTCACACTCTCAAGTCGTGTGTGCCTCTGAAGGAACAGCGTTATGGCTCTGATCTCTGTTATTTATTTCTTAACTTACATATTTGAGACCTTGCTCAAGATGTGCTCATGAAAAATTACCCTTTTAATGGTGGAGCATTTAATGAGAAACCGGATTATCTACTGCATAAGTGCCCTTCATACAAATTAGCTTGGCCCTGGGTCCTAATCTAAATTGGGCTCTCTACTTTCCTCTCAATGACCTAATATTTTCTTATTAATCTCTGCCCTCGTTCACCTGATCTGGCTCTGCTTCCTCTTACGAAGCATGCTCCTCAACAGAGCTCTGTGCCCTGACAAATGTTTCTTAAGGCTGTCTTTGTGTCTGACTTACGGACATTTTTCGGACATGACCTGGAGGCTGGAAGCTGTTTCTTCCATTTTCAAGCCATCTCTCCAATGGAGTTTTAATGCTGCCAGTGTATTAAATCTCAACAGATTTGGGCCAGGTGAGTTTTGGTAGAAGTTTAGATGGGGCTTCACAGGGAAGTCGAATAGGTGAGAAGCAGTTAATCATCGTGGTTAAGAGAACAGGCTTGAAGACACAGAACACAAGCAAACCGTAAGCCTGGCCTTTGGCATCAGGCAGATCTGGGTTCAGGTCCCACTCATTGAGTTTGGACAAATTACTTGGCCTCTCAAACCTTCAATATAGATCCTTGTCTATAAAACCTAAGTAATAGTACCTACCTCTAGGATTATTTCCAGGGCTAAACAAGTTGGTGCATATAATGAGCTTTGTACGGGACATGATAAATCCTACCTGGTATTGTTATTATACTTAAACTTTGGAGGAAGTTCCAAATAGTGAACGGGATGCTATTAGTGACTGAAATAGTGTCAGGAATTGAAGAGGCAGAGATGGTATTTGCGATAGAATAAGGTAGAGTAAGGTAACCTTCCCAAGAAATAGGTCAAACCATAGGCCACTCCTACCAAATATTGCATAATGATGCAGGGAGAGGTGACCTGTGGTGCCCACAGCTAGATGTCTGTGCGTATAGGGTATATCAGGCAAATGTTTTTCTCTTTGTTGTTAGCCTTAGTCTCTGACATCTGCCCTCACTGATCCCAGAGACTTAATTTTTACATTGATTACACATTCAGACGAATCATCCGTGTGTTATATTTGCTTTATGGAAAGTAATTCAAGAAGTTTAATATGCTAAAAGTCAGCAAGGATGCGGTAGAAAAAATACCAAATGGGATTTGGGGACGACAGTTCCAGGCCTAACTATGCAGACGTCCTTCTTTTGTGTTTTCCTGTTCTCAGCATTGTATCTTCTATGTGCTTCTTGTACTGAGCTGATAACAGGGGCAACAACTACCATTTATAGAAAACTTACATTTGAATCCATACTTTGCACATACTATCTTATTTAAGTTACTATTCATAATAACTCCTAAAGTAGATATTTAATCTTCATTCAACAGTTAAGGAAACAGAGGCTTGGCAGGTAGTTTAGTTGGCTTACAAGTGAGAGAGCCGTGATTTGAAATGAGGATGTCTGGCTCTAAAGCTTATACCTTCTTACACATCTAGCATAGTGCACTACACATTTTTGTTTGCAGTCATCAAAAACTTGAGCCTCTAGGGGCATAGACTTTGTCTCATTCATCTGTTGCCAGTGAGTAATAGCATCTGGCACAGAAGCGATGCTCAGTAAGGGATGAATGAATAAATGAATGAAATGCAAGCCATGTTTCGTCAATAGGAAAGCATTATATGATGGTTAGCTATTGCTGTTGTTTTTTTTTCTATTTTAAGTGTGTCCTCAAATAATTCTCAACCCCACATAATGGAAGGGCCTCAGTTTGTCCATCATGTGGAGAGAAGAAATGGGCTGAATTATCTCCAATGTCCTCAGATCTAAGTGTCAGACTGATGAAAGAAGGCATGATAGAGGAGGTATCTGAAGCTGAAGTTAATGATATTCCAGGAGGTGAATATCAGAAGCCTTAGGGCATTCCAGGTTTTAAGAACCACATAAGCAATGCCCCACCCTGTGACTCCTTTGATGGGAGTTTGCTGAAGTTAGAGATTTGAATTCCTATGTATTCTTTTTTTTTTTTTTTTTTCTGACTATATGAACGTGGACAAGCTATTTGAACTCTGTGACCTTCATCTTTGTCATCTGGGAAATGGATATGGTTGAGTCGTTGTGAAGAGGGGGTAAAGTTTATAAAACATCTCACAAGAAAGATGTGCTCAGTTCACAGTAACTTTATTGTCTTCATTTTATGTGGATGTGTTTGAACTGCTGGTTGATGTGTCTCAGCAAAATATTATGCTAATAATGATTGAGAAAGCTGTTACGAGGTGTAGGCGCACCGTACCAAGAAGTATGGAAGCCTCTTTCTGTACACGCATGAGTTAGCAGAAGAGACATTGTAAAATCATTTTTTGATAATTGCCCCCGAGCCACTGCTTGATACAAAGCAATTACTCTGGAGTCTCACTATAAAACAGCCCATGGAATCGGGTGTAAGGAGGGTCTTGGACCCGGGCCAAAGTCATATTAAATACTGGAAATGCCGGAGAGACTCAGGGCTAATACTATTCTAACAAGAATGTCAGACATAAACTCCTAGTGGGTGATGATCGTTTGTTGATGACCTAGTGTGTATCAAAATCCATATTGGGTACTTTATACGTGTCATCATGTTTATTTATCTTAATGCCCCTTTGGGATTGGTTATTTTTAACTCCTTTTTTTTTTTCTGCCTGAGAAAATGGAGTCTCAGAGAGAATTGTGTAATTTGCCTGAGGATTTAAAAGGATAGAGCCGGAATTTGCATACAGGAGTCTTACCATTCTTTTGTCCGTGGTCTAATGATTTGACTTTCATAGCACGTAGGTGAACCAGAGAACCAATCTCAGATCTGCGGATATTTAAAGCCAATGGGGCCTGAACACCTACTTATCTGAATCCTGCATTTCTCTCTTTCTAGGTCAGGATCGCAGTGAAGCCACTTTGATAAAGAGGTTTAAAGGTGAAGGGGTCCGGTACAAGGCCAAACTGATCGGGATTGATGAGGTTTCCGCAGCTCGGGGAGACAAGTTATGCCAAGACTCCATGATGAAACTCAAGGTACTGCGCAAGCGTTTTAATTTAAATATTGTGGGTTTGATATGACCGAGAGGAAGAAATGGTTACAGTCATTCTGGTAAACATATTTTTTTATTCATATACTGGTATATTACTTGGTACACTGATGACTCACTGCATTTATTTATTGGGAGGACATGTCAATCATTTAGCAAATGTTTGTTGAGCATCTCCTATGTGGAGGTATGTTTCTAGCCCCTGTTGTACAGTTTTTGAGCATATCACATGTTATTCAATTGTGTCTTCACTGTGCAATGCCTGCAAAAATAAAAGTACAAAATCATCAAATTGTGCTGTCACTCAGATTTTATAAATTTTCTACTTGATTTTTGAATAAATTTTATATATTTCACCATATGATGAATATGGTAAAAGATGATATATTAATAAAGAAGCTGATTTTATTCATTCTTGAAATTTCTATTAATGTCCCCCAAATACTTTAAAGGGAAAATGTTATAAAAAGTGATATGTAACTAGATATTGACATTTGGCGGTATCGCAAAGAGATTGATGATTTGAAATGCTTTAAAGAAGGCTTTTCACTGAGAAAACTAAGAAAGAAATTGAGAAAAATTTTAATATGCAAAATAAGAGAATTATGTTATTAAATAGCCTTTAAAAACATAAAAAATTGAACGTTGTTTGTTCCCAGATTCTGGTCTCCATGTAGTCTATGTCTTTTTTTTTTTTTTTTTTTTTTTTGTGGTACACGGGCCTCTCACTGTTGTGGCCTCTCCCGTTGCGGAGCGCAGGCTCAGCGGCCATGGCTCACGGGCCTAGCTGCTCCGCGGCATGTGGGATCTTCCCGGACCAGGGCACGAGCCCGTGTCCCCTGCATCGGCAGGCGGACTCTCAACCACTGCGCCACCAGGGAAACCCTATGTCTCTTTTTTAAAAAAGTAATATAAAATATTAGAGAAACAGATGATTTAGCAAGAAGTTTACAAGCTGTCTTATGCATTTAAGACCTTTAATTTAATTATTTTCCTGATTATAGAATTCAAAAAATGCTCATTGTAAAAATTTTGAAAGTACAGAAAAGTATGAGGGAAAATTAAACTTATCCACAATCCCACCACAAAAAGAAAAATCAGTATCAGCATTTCTGTGTGTAACTAACACTCTCTCTTTGTATTTTTATATACATTTGTGTATATGTATATGAATCATACACGTATATGTAGTGTAATTGGAATTACTATTTATAGTTTCATATCTTGTTTTCTTTCTCCCTAATAATATATCATGAGCATTTTTTCTTATCTTCTAATAGTCCCTGAGGATACAACTTGGTCAATGTAATTTTTTTTAACGTAAGAAAAAGGGAAGAAAAGAAAAGGAAAGAAAAAAGAAAAGAAGGCTGGCCAAGTGCCTACTAATATTAAATGAGACAATATCTATAAAACACCCTCTACATTGCCTTTTCTTTGGTAGATGCTTAATAAAGCACAGGTATTAATTTTTTTTATACTGTACACATTTTCTCAACAGTTTAACATGTATATTAGATGCCGAGACTCCCTGTAGTATAGCTGTAGGAATCATTCTTTTTAAAAACTCTTAATTTTCTCAACTGTGTATCATTACTTTCTTTCTTTTCTTTTTTTTTTAGCTGTTACACAGCAAACTTTATTTTAATAGTTATGAATCTACTACAAGGCGTACTAGGAAAAGGTATAGAAGACATTAAAATCATGAGTTCACAGATTGTCTCCTTGGAAGAGGTTAATGTATCCTTTTATAAAAAATAAAGTGGGGGACTTCCCTGGCGGCACAGTGGTTGAGAATCTGCCTGCCGATGCAGGGGACACGGGTTCGAGCCCTGGTCTGGGAAGATCCCACATGCCGCAGAGCGGCTGGGCCCGTGAGCCACAACTACTGAGCCTGCGCGTCTGGAGCCTGTGCTCTGCAACAAGAGAGGCCGCGATGGTGAGAGGCCCGCGCACCGCGATGAAGAGTGGCCCCCCACCCCCGCCGCCACTTGCCACAACTAGAGAAAGCCCTCACACAGAAATGAAGACCCAACACAGCCAAAAAAAAATAATAATAAAAAATAAATAAATAAAGTGGGACTTCCCTGGTGGTGCAGTGGATAAGACTCCACGCTCCCAATGCAGGGGGCCCAGGTTTGATCCCCGATCAGGGAACTAGATCCCATGTGCATGCCGCAACTAAGTGTTCGCATGCCACAACTAAGACCTGATGCAACCAAATAAATAAATATTAAAATAATAATAATAATTAAGCAATGTTATAAGATTTTAGGACAGTCCAGTAGTGAGTCCCCTTCTTCTGCCAAGTTCAAGTCTGAGTGATAAATACACAAAGGAGTCCAACAGGAAGAATTTTAAATTCCAGCTTCATGACTGATAAATGCTGGTCTGGAGGATGTGACGTAGACACACAGCCACAGGGCATCCTTGAAAGAGACAGGCCATTCCACTTGGTTTGTGGGGTAGTTGGATAACTTCAGCGTTCCATGTTCACCCACCCTGACCCCTGCTCTGCCCCAGAGCAGGACTGTGAGTCACGCATGAGATCAGACCAGAATGCAACCTCTCTACCAGCGGGTAGATTGCAGAGAGAGAACCCAGAAAGACTGAGCCAAGGAGACCCTGGTCAAGAATGGGGATAAAGGCCTGCATCTTGATTCTTGCTGAAGTTGCTCCTTACTGAGTATGAGGCCAGGCAAATGGAGATTTGCTTTCAACAAATATTAATTGAAAGCCATCAAGAAACTCTCCAGTGGCCTGGTTCTCACTCAGAGCCACAAGTCTGCTGAGAACAAGAAAGAGGCTGGTGCATCTTCCCCCAGCATCCTGGTAGATAGCGTTCACCAGGCATGGGTCACAGAGCACCTCACTGACAGCTGCCTTCATAGAAGCATGGAGGTCTCAGCGTATGTGAGACAGGAGTTGGCCTGTGTGCCCTGAAGTTCTCCCTCAGGATTAACACTGGGCCAGGCTAGCTGTACCAAGCCTGGCCAGGATTGCCGACCTTGCGTGTGTGTGTGTGTTGGGGGGGGGGGGTGTTACCTGCAGTGAAGTACCCCATCTATCACCCCTTATAACTGTGAGGTCCCCAAAGCCCTGGAGAGTTGGTCCAACCATAACACGCTCCTGTCAAATGCTCTGAACTTGTTGACGGTTCTTGGTTCCCAGACAATCGTCTTTCGTTATTTGCAAGTTGCAGAGCAGAATGTTGACATTTCTGCTCCCCGTAGTGTTACTTTAAGAAACACAGAAACATAAACGATCGATCCTCCATTTGGCCACTTGCCCATGGAGGAAAGACAAAGAAATAGAAAATGCCTGTTAGCCTTGCAAAAGGCCCACTTGTTCATGTCAGGCCATAGGAGCAAAAAATTTTTTTCATCTGTTTTTCTTTGCTAGGCTTTCTGAAGCTGGTGCCTCTTCCTGTTTTAGAGAGTTTTCTCTTGGATTATAGAGATTTAAGAGGGGATGCATAATGTGAGTATGAGTGAGCCATTGCCTGTCCACCAGCGAAGGCTCATTGTCATTGTATTTTAATTTAGTCAACAACGCACTTTTACATATATTATCTCTTTCGCTCTTATGAGGTAGCTATTAGCCTCCCTGTTTTGTAAATAAAAAATCTGAGGCTCATGGAAGTTATAGGATTTGCCCCAGAACCTTCATTTCATCTGGGATAATCCCAGAATTCAAGCCTGTATCTCCAGATGCCCAGTGTTTGATAAGATATAGTTTAGTGCTTCGTTCTATTCTGTTTTGTATCTGCGTTGAATCTATCCTGGTTCCCCAACTAGTGTTTAAGCTCCTACCAGTAAGCTACATAGCCCCACATCATTGACTTCCAAAGCAGTCAACTTTCAGAGGTATCGGGCAAAATGGTGGTGTTTGAAGCTATGGGAGAGATGGGCTGATTACAGAGCCCTAAGTAAATCTATTAGTCAGGATCCTGTAAGAAACACCCAGCCCGACGAGGTCATATGAGGATACTTTAATGCAGGAGCGACATACAAAGGTTAGGCAAGGTTAAGGTAGCAAACAAGAGCTGGTGAGGCACTGGAAACTAAAAACAGTGGGAAGCTGTTACCATCCTAGGATGAGATCTATTTACTGGAACCCAGGGAGGGCGAGATTGCAGACAAAGTCCCTTCCCTCGCCAAGCAAAAATAAGCTACTCCTGGAGATTGTAGAACAAGGATGGGAAGGAGGCTGGATGAAATACCCTGACCTCTCTCCTTCCACCCTCTGGTCTCCTGTCTGTGCCTTCCTGGGTGGAATTCAGAGGGTAGGAAGCTCAGAGGACCTGACAATGCAGACCACAGGGGCCAGTCTCTGGGCACAAAGCAGGGCAGAGGAGGATATTTGTATTCTCCTTCTTACCTCGGAAAAGTGAACCCTAGGATGAGTTTTCCCCCCAAGATCAACAACTGATAACCAGTAGGGCTGAGATTGGAGACCGGGTTTAGTTCATGGAGCTTTCTGGAATAGCATTCTAGGTTTTCAGCTATTCACGTTGCACACCTGCTTGACGTGTTCCCTGGAGAACACAGTCATCCCATCATGTGCATACACCCTGCTGGGTGAGGTTTCTCAGAGTCCTTTCACGTGCATCACCTTATTGGATTCTCACGGCAACCCCTGAGCTGGACAGGGCAGGCTATCAACCCTGCCTGGCGTGCCTGACCCCTTCCCTGTGTATAAAATCCTCCAGCAAGATGCTGCCTCTGTGTGACTCCCTTAGGGACACCTGCATCAGTCACTCCATACAGTGCCCAGCACACGGCATTGCTTCATAGAATTAGTATTAGAGGTGATGGTCACAGTCATTTGCTGAGCTCTCCTTGCACGCTGCACCCCACGCTGGGTGCGGTATGTGCACGCTTCACTCTTAGGAAATAAGAAGTATTCTCATTTTAGAGTTCTCCTTCACTACTGAGTTTGGAAGCTGGTGGTTCCACCTTTTTTTCATCCATGCCTCCCCAAAGAGCCCATCCAGAGGGTTATAATAGAAACAACCCTAACACTGGAATTCGAAAGCTCACTGAATTCCCTCTATATGTCTTCTTAGTTCCTTGAGGTTTGGGGTGTTCACTTGGCCCCCCGATCTTATGTTTGGTCATTTGTAAAATAAGGGAGATAATTTTTCCTTCCCAGGAATGTGGGATGGGCTGACTTATATGACGTATAAGAGAACTCCTACCATTTGGTAGGTACCCAAGAAAACATCTGACTCCTTCATTTCCGGGTTGCCAACAGTGACTTTGTAGGTCGGGTGGCTAATGTTAGGCACAGAAACCCCAAAAGACACCTACATCCATATCTTCCGATTCCCCAGCCAGCCCTGTCCCTTGGCCCTTTGTCAGTTCTACATAACAGCACTGAATCATCTGTGGGGAGGTGAGCCCCTGCAGTGGGCTGTCTGGTGGCAGGCTTGCTTGGACTTCATGCGGTTTTTCAGGGCTTAACTCGGGGTCCTGTCTCTCAACATGCCTGATAAAATTGGAGTTTTATTTCCCCAAGGATCACACCATGCGGATCATCCTTCTCTCTTGCATTTGTCCTGGGAAGCTGTACCATCAGCAGCCCCAAGCAGAAGTGCTTCTGAAACATGCACGCTGGCTCTTTCCATCCCTCTTTATCCACAGCCACCTTCTGCCAGGGAGTTCTCTGATAGCCACGTGATCAGCATCACTATGTGCTGGGAATTAGCACAATTTGATGTTGTGGTAATTCTAAGACCTAGGGGTTGTTAGGACCATCTTGGAGATGGGGACATTAAAGCTGCTCTTCTTGGGGCTTCCCTGGTGGCGCAGTGGTGGAGAGTCCGCCTGCCGATGCGGGGGACACGGGTTCGTGCCCCGGTCCGGGAGGATCCCACGTGCCGCAGAGCGGCTGGGCCCGTGAGCCATGGCCGCTGAGCCTGTGCGTCCGGAGCCTGTGCTCCGCAACTGGAGAGGCCACAACAGTGAGAGGTCCGCGTACCGCAAAATAAAAAAGCTACTCTTCTTGACCAAAGGTGCAAGCCTCTCCCCAGCATGAGCTGTTATGTCTTCATGTTGGGAGGACTTAAACGAGAAAGAGAGGCTCCCCACCCTTTGACACAGTCCTTCCAATGCTTCCATTTGTAATGGGGCTTCCAGTTATGATGGTGCTAGTTCTTGTTCTCTCTTTTGCGTAGGCCTGGATAGTGAAGTTGAAGGTTAGGCTGTGTAGGGATGGCAGCATCAGTTATTTTACTCCAAATCCAGCCAGGAACACAGATTTCAAATCAAGTTTTCATAGGTTCAAAGCCTGGCTTGTTCATTACCCAAGTGAGGGGAAAGTCACTTCACTTTTTTTTTTTTTTTTTTTTTTTTTTTTTTTGGC